TTTCTAGTTATGTCTCTTTTGATCCAGGATTCAAAGTTTCTTAGACCTCATCCTAGCCAGCTGTGTGAACATGAACCAAACACTCTTTTTCTGGTTTAGTATAGATGGTAGATCAAGCTGGTGGATCAAGCTCCTTCCACCTCTACAATTCCACAGGTCTCCTTTTATAGGGCCTGTCTCTCTCTATTATCTGTTTGTCTAGTTACTCCATTTATACTTAAAATGGAGGTAACCATGGTAGGACAAGCCTGGGCTATTTTTGGAGTGGGGAAAAAGGAACTCAAGGAGTGGCTATCTTTATTTGGATCATGTACCCACTAAACATATGGGAAACTATTCAGCCTTCCTAATCTCTGCTCTCCCTCCCCCATTTCCTATTTGCAGGGCCCAGGAGGAATGAGGTTTCTCAGCAAACATTGAGACGCGGTCCCTGTAACTCCCTGTCGCCATAATGGTCCCTCAGGTTAAGGAGCAGGAGCACTGTCTTCACCTCACCCTCAGGAATCTTCCGTGTCTCCCAGCATTGCCCTCTCCCACACAGACCCAACACACCTCCTGCAGCATCACACCTTACTTGCTCTCTGCTCTTCCCCAGTACTCTCCAGTGCCTGGGAAGCTCCTCCCACTCTTGGGAGGACATTTTCCTATCCTCACTTCTATTTAGCAACCTTAAACCCAGCAAATCCCACATCTTCCTCATACTTGTCCTGCATGATGTGGCCTTTTGTGCTGCATCTTCCCTATGCCCTCTCATCAAGCCAGAAAGAATAGCCATTTTTTCATCTGTTTTATACACAGACCTCCCATCTAAGGTTTCATTTGAAGAAAAGTCCTGTTCTTGGCTTCCTGTGCCACCTGTTAGTGGTGCTACTTTGGGCAAGTTATTTAAACTCTCTGTACTTCAGTTTCTTCATCTATCCACTGGGAATAATAATAGTATCTGCCTTATAGGCCTTTATGAGCTAATTCACGTAAAGCAGTCAACATGCGTCTGGAATATAGTATTGTGTAAATAAATTTTAGCTATGTTGGTAATGAAAGCTTTTATTTAACTTTTTTTAAAAAATCCCTACTTCCGATGTCTTTCTCCTTGATTCTATTGTTCTGACACCCTTTTTTAGAGTGTTTCCCAGGCTCATCTTCTCTTTTGGCCACCTCCTGCCATGGTCAGCCACCAGCAGTTGCCTGTCCAGCAGGGTGAGGCCTCAGAACCAAGACTCCTGGAATCACATTCAGGTGGGCTTACCCAAATTATCCCTTCTAAATTTAATACTAAAATGCTCTTTTCTCCCCCAAGGAGTCATTCATTCTCCAGGTGCTTCAGTCTAAAAGCTTCTTTCTGACATGATCTACAGGAGGTAGGTGGGGGGAAGAGTATGTTCAAAAAATTTGTGGAAAATGTGTATTATGGAGAAAAAAAAAACTGCATGGATTTCAAAAATTTTTGCACCAAAATAAACTTGTACTCTAACTCGATTTTTTCATGAACTTTCTGAAGTCCCCTTGTATTTATGTCCCTTACCCAAGGCCGAGATCCCTCTATCTGTTCCCTAAAGCCCTCTTATCTTGGCTTCGCTCAGGGCATTTGGGTGTGTCTGTGAGTGTTGATGTCTCCTACCAGGTTTTGCAAAGGGGTTGGGAGTCATAGGGTTGCCTTCTCAGCAGGGGTCCTCAGAGCATGGTGAGCCCTGTCTGACTTCATCCATTTATACCCTCAAAATGAAAATTCCGAAGGAGTGTTTCTGGACTGGGCTGAATTTACTTTTATCAATATCTTAGATGAAAAGGGTTGTTCAGCTAAAGCACTCAGAAAATAAGACTGGAAGGCTTTTGTTTAACCTACTTAAGAGCAAAAGTGATTTTTAGACTTTGGTGCAACAGTTTGTATGTAAATAGCTTGTGCTAATTGCAAATGAGTCTTATCTTTTCTTTAAAGTAGACCCTTAGGGATATTTATTTGGAAATATTTTGTTAGCAGTTACTCCAAATCAATACAATTACTTTTCTCTCCAAATATTCTTTAACACATACTTGTCTTTTACTCAGGCCAGGGAAAATGGAGCTGATGTAAAATGTTGTCACTTAAAAAGCTATCCTTAAAAGGAAAATCTTTTAAACCATCTGAGCTTTAATACATACCTGAGAGGGTTTGGGGAAGGAAAAAGTTGCCTTTGTAGCAATTGCAGGGAAAGAGCGCTGAGGAAGGAGAGGAACTTCTTCCTTTATTCCACCCCCCTCCCCGCCCACCGAGTCCTAGGGAGGGTTTGGTCAGAGGAGATGTGGCATGCCAGAACTATCTGCCCAAGGTGGACCAGTACCAGCAATGAACCCCAGGCTATGTTGGCATCAGGGGCATTTCGGTGAGAGGAGTTGAAGGATGGCCTTCCCAAGAAAAGAGGCTTGCTTACAGTCACCATGGCTAGCTGTTGGATCTCAGCCTTGGGATTAGGACTGGTAGGATATAGAATATCTTTCTGCTGGGACCAGAACTAGGACCAGGGTCAGAGAAGTGTTTTGGGTGCAAAATTTAAGGAAGGCCTCATTCTCAGGTGCCAGCCTTGGACTTGCACGAGTCCAAGATTGGGTGCCTCCTTAAATTTTATACCCTCAACTTTGCTCTCTTTGCTTTAGTCCCAGTCTTGCTTTCTGCCCCTGCTAAGAAAAGGGTTTCTGTAACTGCCTGCAAGGAAGAGACAGAAATTGAAAAGCAAAGTCTAGACCAGAAGGGCATGGGAAGTCTTGTAGGCTTCTCAGGGTGTTCTCCATTCTTTTTCAGCGTAGAGGGTAGGGATACGGCAGGCAGGCAGGCAGGTGAGGGCACAGCAATCAGATGGGAACAAAAAGAATGCAGCAGAGGGTCGATGGTTTTCTACACTTCTCTCCATGGCCCTTGTATACACTTCTCCCTTTTCCTTCACCTACAACCTAAGCATGGTCTGGGTGGAAGAAGGAAACATGGAGGGCCCTAAACAACTCAACTTGCTCTGTGTCCCAGCAGCCCCTGAGAAAAGAGGGTGTCCAACTCAAAGAAGCAAGCTCAGCCCATAAAGTGGCAGAGATGGGCCCTGATACATAGTGAAGT